TAAAAAATTATTTTTTGAGGAACGATCATAGTTTCAAACCAAAAGTCAAATATGGTTAGATGCGCAATAAAATTCTCTATCGAACCTGCTATTCAGCTTTTTGATACTTTCAGATTTTTAAATCCGGTAGAGTCCTTTATCTGAAAAAGATATTAATCAATTAAAACATTCTATTGGTAAAAATATTGCAACAAATGGTTATTTGTCTACCAGTCTTTGTCGTATAATTGCTGAGAAATTTACTGCTAATGTATTATTTAAAATTAAAATTGATACTTCTTTGAAAAATATTGTTTATGCTTATGTATCAACTCAAAGTGCAATACCAGATGAAGAAGAAGTTTTATTTGATTTGGGTGCTTTGTTTCAAATTCAAAATGTCGAACAAGAGGAAGAAAACAAATGGATTGTAACAATGATTACTATAAATAATACTGAATATTTACACGATGATGATTTTGTTAGTGAACTAGATCGTCTACAAATAAATACGACTGGTTTAAATATCAAATGTGAACTTGTTTTCGGTCGATTTTTGACAGAATTGTGTAAATATGATAAAGCAATTGAATATCTAGAAAAATTATTACAACGTACAATACTTAAGGATTATGACAAATACAGTATTTTTATTACAATTGCTGAAGCTTATTTTCTGAAAAAAGACTTTGATGACGCTTTACTATATGCCATGGAGTGTTTAGATCTTTATTCTCATTATTTAATGTCAATTTCAGATGACTTAGTATTAGTTGCTAATATTTATCTAATGAGAATGGAATATGATCTTGCAATAGAATTTTATGAAAACGTATTAAAAATAACTTCTATAGATAATATTAGTAAAATAGCTGAACTGCATTGGTATATTGGCTATATCTACGATAAAAAACAAAACTATTTGTATGCTTTGAAACATTGTCAACAATCGATAGAAATACTAAATGAATTTGAATCATCAACCAATTTTAATAGATCAAAAATGTATCCTATGAAAGGTGTACATCTTGCCGATAAAACTTTTGGTTTTTTTTATGTAAGAAGTCTTATTCATCAAACAATCTCCATAAGAAAACAAAATGCTATTGCCAATAGTCCTCTCCTTATTGCAACTCTTACTCAGTCACTGAACATTATCTATTCGGAAACTAAAAAATATTATGAATTACTTTCATATTTTTTTATACTACGATCAGTTAAAGAAAAAATAATTATAAATAGTAATAATATGCTTGGTTTAGCGTATAGATGCATTGGAGACTATTATTACAACATTAAACAATCATCTAAGACATTCGGTAAAAAAAACGATCTTTTTGATTCCTTCCTGATTTTTGCATTATATTGTGAAAAACTACGATTTAGAGATTTCAACCGCAATGAATTACATGACATCGATAAGAATTCTCTATTTTCAATGAAAACTAGGCATGCACCGGTTTCGGTTAACCGAAAATGTTGCACAAGTTCTTGAAAATATGTGACACGATATGAAGGAAACATCTGTTGTTCAATCAACAACTGTTCATCCCTGAAGAAAGATGCACAGTGTACAAAATCAGAAATAAGCCAAATAAGTGGTATTTCTGACTTTTCGTCGTGAAGAAAGAGCTTCCCAAAATTGAGTTTAGCAACAAAAGTATGGAAACTTAATTTCCTAGATTTTACTTGCTGAGCACATTTTTATATAAATCGATCTTCACGATGAAAACTGATATTTACTGCTTTTCGTCCTGAAGATCGATTTGTATAAAGGTGTGCCTAGCGAGTAAAATCTAGGAAATGAAGTTTGCCATATTTTTCTTGCTAAACTTAATTTTGGAAAACCCTTCCTTCACAGTGAAAGCTCAGAAATACCGCTTATTTGGCTTATTTCTGATTTTGTACACTGTGCATCTTTCTTCCGGGATGAACAGTTATTGATCGAACAACAGATGCTTCCTTCATATTGTGTCAAACGTATTTTCAAGAACTTGTGCAACAATTTCGGTTATGATCGGTTTGGTGAATCAGTTAAAAACCGAAATCGGTGTATGCCTAACGAAAACACATAACACACTTATGCGCAGAAAACATAGAAGATTGTCTCTTATTGTTCAAATTCACTGAATATCTTGAAAAATAACTACAAATTGAATACACTACTTAGGAGGGAACCTTTCCAGGTGTCAAACTCCGTTTTCAGTGATCTTATGTCAGTTAATAGAGGAAAGTGTTCTAGTTAAAACCCTAAAAGGATTTGTGTCTATGGGTCTTCTGTCAAGACTTTTGGTATTTTTGGTTTCACTGGAAATACAGGTACAACAACATGCGAGCTAAAATATTTTCTGTGATTGTTCTAACAGTCTGTTAACATCCTAGAAAGAATTAGCGTTTTAGCCTCTCTAGAAAATAATCTACTGAATTTTCGTTGTTTTTAAGAAAAACCATCTTTTTCAATAATTCATTTTTCTTTTATTATGATTAATCATATGTGGTCCTGTTAATGTTCCTTAATAGGCAAGCTGTCTTCTCTCGCTCCTCGCTTTCTATAATTTATTTAACTTTTTGTTTCGGGGATACAATTGGTTTTCTATCTGAATAAGAGTTATTCCATCATTATAATGGTTTGGCAATATTGTTAGCCAAAGTAGTTTTTGTACCTGTTTTCCCAGCAAAACAAAATAAATTCATAACTCTTGAAAGAGGACCCATGGACACAAATCTTTTTAGGCTTTTAACTCAGGTATGTTTAGATTTCCGAAAAAAGCCAATTTCCGAAATTATCATAATTTACGATTCACCATACGCCTTCATCCATGAACCAAATACAGAAATTTACCAGAAATTACCTAGATTCAATAATATCCCAATACCAAATTTGCTAGAAATTTCGGTAATTCCCCATTAACAAAACCAAAATTTCGCAGTAATTCCCCAATATCCGTCAGAATTTTCTATACAAATTCAGAAAATACTCCATCACGAAAAAGCAATTTCCGTAAACTTTCAGAGTCTATTACGGTAGTTCACCGAATTTCCCCCCACCTTCTAGATCTTTCAATTATTTATCAGACGGAGAAATCCGTTAGAACAGGGGTCCGTATATCAGAAAATAAGAGAATTTTCAGAAATTTATATTATTTATTAGATAGAAAATTTTGGTAACTACTGGGAAATTACGTAATTTTCACGTAAATTTCAGAAATTTCCCCGTACTTACCAAAATTTCTAAAAATTCTCTTCTTTTCGGAGACAGGGGTCCCTATTCTAAGGGATATCGCTATCTAAAAAATAAAAAAAATTTCACCAAATTCCCCGTAATTACCAAAATTTCCACGAAATTACCGAAATTTCTAAAAATTCTCTTCTTTTCGGAGGCAGGGGTCCCTATTCTAAGGGATATCTTTATCAAATAAATAATAGAAATTTCACAACATTCCCCGCAATTACCAAAATTTACACGAAATTACCGAAATTTCTAAAAACTCTCTTCTTTTCGGAGACAGCGGTCCCTATTCTAACGGATATCTCTATCTAATAAATAATAGAAAGTTCACAAAGTTCCCGTAATTACCAAAATTTACACGAAATTACCGAAATTTCTAAAAATTCTCTTCTTTTCGGAGAAAGGGGTCCGTATTCTAATGGATATCTGTATCTAATAAATAAAAGAAATTTCACAAAATTCCCCGTAATTACCAAAATTTCCACGAAATTACCCAAATTTCTACGAAATTACCAAAATTTCCAAAAATTTTCTTCTTTTCGGAGACAGGGGTCCGTATTCTAATGAATATCTGTATCAAATAAATAATAGTAATTTCACAAAGTTCCCGTAATTACCAAAACTTCTACGAAATTACCGAAATTTCCAAAAATTCTCTTTTTTTCGGAGACAGGGGTCCGTATTCTAATGGATATCTGTGTCTAATAAATAAAAGAAATTTCACAAAATTCCCCGTAATTACCAAAATTTCCACGAAATTACCGAAATTTCTAAAAATTCTCTGCTTTTCGAAGATAGGGGTGCCTATTCTAAGGGATATCTGTATCTAATAAATAATAGAAATTTCAGAAATTTCCCCGTAATTACCAAAATTTCCTCGAAATTACCGAAACTTCTAAAAATTCTCTTATTTTCGGACATAGGGGGATTTATTCTGAGGGATATCTCTATCTGACAAATAAAAGAAATTTCGGTAGCTCCCCAGTAAGTACTAAAATTTCCTCGAAATTACCGAAATTTCTAAAAGTTCTCCTATTTTTGGAGATAGCGGTCCCTGTTCTAATGGATATCTCTATCTAATGAATAAAAGAAATTTCAGTAATTTCCCAATAATTACCAAACGTTCCTCATATTTGCTGGGTGACTTCGAGTATTTTCCGTAATTTCCTTTTACTTTGGTAGTAAATTCTTAGCAAATAGTTTTGAAAATGTTTGCAATTTCGGAAATTACTGAGAAATTTTCTTTTTCGTTAGTGGGTAATTACCGAAATTTCTTGGAAATTTGGTTTTGAGGTATTAGTGAATGTAGGTAATTTTTGGTAAGTTTCTGTATTTGGTTCATGGATGAATCTGTACTG